TTTTTTTTTTTTTTTCTAAATTGGTTAATTGCGGCTTCATGCGTTGCTTGTTTGCATATTGGGCTGCAAAAGTAAAAAAGAACTCGGAAGAATAAGATAATAACAATTGAAATCAAATGCCATAAAAATGCCCTCTTGTACACAATATCCATTATTCTAAAACCGATTGGTTTTAGTGTATTCCCACCCGCTTAAGAGGTGGAATTAACATTTAACTTAACGGAAAATTATGGCTTTGTAGTTTGGCATGCTTAATGATCGTTTATTGTGTTGTGTTTATCCCCTTCTTACAATATATAGTTGCCTTTTTTTTCAAGTGGTGACAGATTATACTATTTTTTCTTTGTAAGGCCATATCTAATTGTAACTGGCAGCAGATTTATATATGAAGTAGGACAATTAAACTGCTTTTGTTAATTTTTCTTGGATTTGGAGTTTGAATTATTATGTTCATTTTGATATTAATTTACATGTTCTGATTAATTGTTCAAACTCTTGCATTTTAACACGTACAGATTATTAAAGATCGGAGATGGAAGGAAGTTACCGGAGCCTTTAATTTCCCTTCCACAATCACAAGTGCTTCATTTGTCCTGCGCAAGTATTATCTGTCATTGCTTTTTCATTTCGAGCAGGTTTATTATTTTCGGAGAGAAGAACCCAACATATCATCTCCCGGTACATATCAAAATATTTCAGTATGGTTATGTGCCCTTTATGGCTTTGAGTTTACATTTGTCGCGTAATAACCAGTACACCCTTTCTTTTTCTCAATAAATAAAGCAACTTGGAGTGCTGATGGATCAGCATCGCCACATACTCCCGATGACGGGTCTGCCGCATCAGATCATCTTCAGCTTACAGGTGGATTGTCCATTGCTCGTTTACGTACGGTTTTCTTGAGTTTATACTGAATATATTTCGGCTAAATTGCATTTCTAGTCCTGCTAGTTTAGCGCCATAGCAATTTTAATCCCAAGATTCTAACATTTCGTCTTTTGATCCTGTGATTTAATATTTTGCTGCAATTTCAGTCTTAATTGCAACAAGTTCCAAATTCATAGATTTGTGATTAGCAATTTAAGCTTTATAATTTAAAATTTGGTTTCTATGTAAGTTGTAATTTAAAATCTTGTTGCAATTTCATTCCTAAAGGTTGCAGCAAAGTATAAAATCACAGGACCAAGGCGAAAAGTTGGAACCTTGAGACTAAAATTGCTATGGCTTTAAACCAAGAGGACTGAAATTGCATATTTGCCAAATATCTCTTTTAGATGAAGCGATTTATTTAATCATTGCTTATTAGTTATTTTTAATCACCAAAATGAACAAAAAAAAATCAACATGATCTAATGTGCTTACACGTACAATACGTGTGTGTGTGAAAATGTCGAAATTAACTTTTGATAATCAGTATCAAACGCAGAGAGTCCGTCCTTAGAGAACGGCAGCCTTGTCACAGGAACAATCGAGAGAAAAATCGATTTTGGTTATGTGGTGACCGTTAATTTCGGAGGCGAAGATTTAAAAGGTGTACTTTATCACATCCCAAATGGCTATGTTGAGCCCGTTCATCATCGTGCGAGGAGAAAGCACCAGATGGCTAGGGACCCGGCTCACCCGAAAAGAAACCGAAGTGGCTACACTTTCTTTTTCGCCGAGCAGTACCACAGGCTGAGGCCCATGTACCATGGCCAAGAACGAGCCATTAGTAAAAAGATCGGTCTGTTGTGGGGTAGATTGACAGAGGCTGAGAAAAAGGTATCATATATTCATCACTTAGTAGAAAAAACTTGTATTTGCTCTGTTGTGTTATATATCTGGATTGTTACAAGAACACTCAAAGAAGTTTGGGATTTTTTTTTACTTTTTTTTAACAAAAAAGGAAGGGTAAAGAAATAATTGAGGGTTTTGAAGTGCTGTTTTTCTTGTGGAGCGGGCGGTTGAATGTAAGACCGAATTGTTTTTCTTCAAATTCCGGGAAGAAGCTCGAAACTTCGGGTGCTTTGGAAATTATTACTTCTACTTTTGCTTTGAAGGATTATGGCTTGGTTAATAATATCAACTTGGTGCCTCTGGGTTTGTCGTTTATCAAAATAGAAAATGTGTATTCTTGGTTTGTCAGGACATAATTGAAATGGTAATCTGATTTTTGCCTCATCTTTACTTGGTGCATTCAAATACCACTAGCTATTATTACTTTTTGACCTTCTTTTAACACTTTCTTTTTATGCTGATTGGGTTAAGCGGAAAAGGAACTCGATGCACCCGGATGAGATTTTATTTTTTTATTTTTTTATTTATTTTTTTATTTTTTTCTTTTGCGATTCGTTTCTTATTGCACTGGATTATGGCTGACTGAAGTATTCCACAGTTCTTATGCATTGTTTATTTATGTATTTTGACATAATACTTTATTTGTGATGATATGGTTTTCAGGTCTATCAGGACAAAGGTTTGAGAGATAAGGAAAGGTACAAAGCTGAAATGTCAGAGTACAAGACATCACATCACGCGCCACCTTAATAAATCGACCGACTCGTAGGAGTTTCGTGGGATGTCTATTTCCTGAGTATGGCATTTTCCTTTTCCTTTTCTTTTATTTCTATTTTTTTTTTTTATTTTCATCGCGTGTTGTTGCTAGATATAGAGAGAGGACTGTAGAGAATTCTCCGTGTCCTAATTTCAAGTTGACCGAAAAACACATTCACCACTTGAAGCGATGGATGATGTTCGTTTAGGCTTTTCTCCTGAGCTGCTTTTTTCGCTGTAGTTAGACTTATAAGTTGATTGTTTAGGCTTTTGTCCTGAGCTGCTTTTTTCGCTGTAGTTAGACTTATAAGTTGAATTTCTGATGTATTGCCTAACCTTATGTGACTTGTTGCTCAAGTAAAGGGTTTGGGCTTTGAGGCCCGAATTGTGGTATGTATGGTCCCTTATGCAAGTAAAGGTTTCGGGCTATGAGGCCCGAATTGTGGCAGGTCTGGTCCATTTTAGTACTTGAACAAGTGAATGATTAGTAATATTCATGTCTTGTAATCTATCTTTGTGTAAGGCCTTTGGATTTTTTTTTTCTAGTACAAATTCTTGTGTGGGACAGCTTAACCGTCAGACTGAGTTGTTTCGTCATACTTTCTGTTAACAAAAATACATACTTATGATATTAAATATCGTGATTTTGTATGAGTTATTCTTCAGAATATGACATTTCAGTTTGAAAATATACGTATCTGTTGAAAAAATATGGTTATCGAATTGTACCGGGTAAAAATAGGTTTCAATTTTTTTATTTTTTTTTCCAACATTTGTGATAGAAGACTTTTGATTCAATTCCAACTTTTATGAAATTTTTAAATGGTGAGCATTAAAAAGTGGGGTTCTTTGCTTCAAATCATGGCCATGCTCCTCATTTATGCCTCCCCATCTTCCCCTAAAAAATACATGAAAGTTTGTAGCATTCTACTTTTTTCCACAACATTTAATATCTTTCCTCTTTTAAAGGGGAAAAAATGAATGTTGGTGTAGTTTTTTTTTGCCTGTGCTTGATTCACTTCCTTGCTTGATTATTCAGTTTTGAATAATATATGACTTGTTTTTTTTGAAGGATAAATCTATATATATAATTAGAGGTAAGCTTCATTTAATTTTATTCAAATTCAATTATAATAATATGATGTCATTTAATAAAATAAGTTGCATTTAATACAAATATGTTCACCATTTAATAATAATATGTAACTTTCAGTTACACAATTTATTTTGACATGTCACATTTTGGATGGTCCCCATTACTGTAACGCATTTTTATGTCATGAAATACAAAATATTTTTGTTTTTATTTTGATACTATATATTTTTTAGGTATTATATAAATGCATATTTCACAACTAATTTAAAATAACTACAAATATCTCTATTTTCTATTGCAGTCATACAATAGTAAAAAATATTATTTCAGATACTACAAAGATACATCAAATATTTTGAAAATCAAATCTCAAAGTCACGAGTCGAAGAAATTTAACGATAAGGATTTGTTGTGATGAGAATTCTTACGTTAATAAAATTACTATTGTTTTATATAAAGAAGTGTTTAATAATATTTAGATTAACTTTTTTAAATAAATTTTTTCTCATTCATTAGGTTATGATTTTTTATTTTATTCTATATTTTTAATTATTTTCTCTTCTATTATATTATTTTTCGTGCAAATGCACGGGTAAAACTAGTTATATTATTAACTCTGCCTATTATTTGCAATTTAGACAATAAAAGCATTAGGCTGACCTATTCGTTCTGAAGTTATACTAATTTTCATTATAAAATATCATATTTTATTAAATATTATAAATTAAAATATGACATCTGATGGTAAAAGTATATATATTTTTGTTCATAATACTTTAGAAATTATGTTTTTAGCAATTGATCAATAAATTATGCTCTTTAGTTATCACTTGTAAGTGTGTGCATTCAAAGCTTACACTGAATCATCACCATATGCTATATTGCAATCTGCAACACAAAGAAAAAAATTCTGACCAATAACATTTAGTAAGTTGGAATCTACATATTCTTGTGTAGTGTCAACCCTAGTTAGGTTGATCCGTCATATATTTTAATATAAACGTCATATTTTTATTTATATTTTTATAATGACAAATATACAAACGTGCTGAAAAAATATGATTGTAACAACAACGGTCTAACCATAGGCGGGTCCACTCGTTATACTTTTTTTTTATTAAGTGTTATGGTTTTGTTTATATTGTCTTTTAGACAATGATATTTCAATTTGAAAGTATTTACATTTGTTGAAAAAATATGGTTGTCTAACCGTTAGGTCTGTCTAACAATAGTGAAATATAAATAATATAATACTTTTCCACCTATCAAATCATTCACAAATTCTTGTACGGGGCAGCCTAATCGTTAAGTGAGTCGATACTTAAACAAAAATGTACGGTTACATTATCAAATGTAATATTTGTTTATATTGTTTTTATAAGTATGATTTTTTCTAATATAAGTATGTATATGTGTGAACATATCCAAGTAATAAACAGTTTTTAGTGTTTACTTTTCACTAATTTGGTGCAGGGTGCTCAAAGATTTCATTCTATAAACATCTTCACATTTTGTATTTTCAATTTTTACATTTATTATTATTATTATTATTATTATTATTATTATTATTATTATTATTATTATTTTTTTTTATTTTTTTTATTTTTTTTTTTGGGTTAAAGAAAGAAAATGTACACACTCCTGATTATTAAGCTACAATTAAATTAATTACAGTATTTTCATCGTTTTGTTTAATTATTTCCTTTTGTTATTCAGTCCACTCCAAAATCTGCATTACTCTCAATCCATCTTCGTGATTTTGGTCGATTAAATTCTAATTAGTTATGCCATAGGCTAACATGCGCGTGACCAAAAAATTACCTAAATTTGACATTTTATTTACGTTCATTTTCAAGGATGGAAAAGTTAAATAATGTTACAAATTCCGACAGAATGATTTCATAACGGAACTGTAGCATTTTCTTAAAATTATAGCTTTTGTTATCTATTAAATATCTAACTATTAAATCAACATACAACTTTTTATACTTTAAAATAAAAATAATAATATAAACATAAGTATATTTTTTATAACATAAATATGTATTTTTATTTCCAAAGTACGACGAGTGGATCCGCCTTAAAATCGGAGAAAAATGGCAGTCAATTTTCCCACACAGTAGTTTCAATATAAAGAAACTGACTGTTTAACTTCATGTCACAGTCTTTCTTCTTCATTCTATGATCATTTCTAAATTGATCTATTTTTTTTTTTTTTCTATTACTTTTCCTTTTTACTTACTCTTCTGAAATCAAGAACTATATATATCTCATTTTTTCTCATTTTTTCTTCTTTTTTTTCTCTCTTACATGTTAATGGAAAATCATCAAGATCAAGAAAAGCTTCAACCTTCCCCTGTTTTCAGACAAGCAAATTTGTGGGTGAAGCTCAAAATCCCCATAGAAGTAGAAAGATTGGACCTTTTCAAAACCCATGATCACATATCCAAGAATCCTTGCCACAACACCACCAAAATGGCATCTTGTCGAATTTGTCGTAAAGCCTTCAGCTCGGAGAAAG